CATGACCTGTCCTGGTCTGCTCGTGTCATCAACATTTTCACTAAAGTTCGAAAACTGTCTTTTTACGCTTACAGGATCAGGAAAGTGGCCGTACCACATAATCTTATTCTTAAATTTGTGATTGCCTGCATTCTTCCATACTGGGGAGCAGTAGCTCCCCGATTTTTATCCCTGGACTGAAAGAAAAAGACTTCTCTTCATTTTCACGATCCCTTAAACTTTTGTCCAGCTATAGTGGAGTTGGTAGTTGTTTTAGTTGATTTCTTTATTTTCAAGCATCTTGACGCTTGTGATACATTCATTGACAGGATCACACGTGATCAAGGGCGCTGTCTGCAACAAGATATCGCGAAAGCGCTGTCGAATCCCCGAACTCGCTCCAAATATCAACTTCTTCCTGTGCGGACTTCCAACATTAGAAACAGTGTAATTTCATACCTTGCTCGGTTATTGGTTAGTCTTCAGAATAGTCTCACCCACCACAGGGACGATTTCTTGCACTGATCTTTCTCTAATCGACTTAAGTGGAAAATTTCCTATATTGTATTTTCTGTTTGCAAATCGTAAATTGCTGAAAATTCACCCTTTGGGTGCATAAAGCTTTTCTTGACTTGACTTGAGTAGGGACGAGTAACAGGAGTAAAATAGTATTTTATGAGCCGGTTTATCAAGAGCTGTGATACGCACAGAAATAAAACGACATATTCTGAACTCCTTTCCTTTCCCTTCCTTTCGAATGTAAAATGACATCCTGGATCTGGCTAATTAATATATTTATCTTTTCGCACATGCCTGAGTTCAGACTGTGCCTGCCAAACAAATTACGGTACAGTATTCTTTGTAAGAAGAAAAAGGTTCACGATTTGTTCGAGAGCATGATACTGCTAGGTTGCCCAGGCCAAAGCAGATGCATTTTCTTAGGGAGTTCTCAACCGGACCCTTCGGCTGGGCAGTCTGACCACAAAGGCAGCGGGGCGGTGTGGGAAAACCGCAATACATTAGGAGCCGGTGTCGAGTTTATCGGATAATACGCCCTTCGGACGGGGTCAAACGTTCAAAGTGTCCAATATACCTGGATACCTAATCGAGCCGGTGACCGCTACTACGACCAGGAAGGCTTAGGTGTGAGCGGTTTGTACATCCCCCTTGATTGGTTTGGAACTAGGGCTTTTAGCCAACTCCCCTAGGTGAACTGCCAGTGTATCACCGACCCGGTTATAGCCCCGGATGTTGGCTTTTCGTCCTCTCCTCTTGGTGGGAAAACATCTCCGCCAGGAGGTAGAGATTAGGACATCCTCAGAAGAAGCCATTTAAGATCCTTGATATCGTGGATATACGTAATATTAAACCGGGTTGGTTATCACACAGAACCAAAGAACTTGAACCGGTCTGACTGAGCACCGTATTTATGAAAACAGTAGGAATTGCATTTGTAACCCACCTGGCAGAAACCGGGCGTCAGGTTTGCAAAGACAATTTTAAATTCACCCATCCGGTACCTCGGAAAATATCGAAGCTCGCATGACACCATCAACAAGCAACAGTGGAATCGGCAGTAAACTGACCGCTTAAACGATGGCGTGCGTACAGAAAAAGCTAGTCAAAGCACTCCAGCTGCCCTGGCCCCGAAATGACTTAAAAGGTGAAACTGATCGCGAGCTCCGTCACGGAATGACCACGACATAAATTGCCCCCAATCTCGTCACGTCACCCCACAGATAGAATCCACGAGCCTTCTCCTCATCCTGCAGGTTACAGCCGTTCATGTCTGTCATTNCAACTTAGTTCCAACTTACTGGCCAATGCATTTGTATACAAATTTGCATGAAAATGTACGCAGCTGCAGACGAAGTCACGGGGACATACAATTAGTTTTCTTCTACATCATGCAAAATACGATTTTGTTAATTGTTCGAAAATACCATCCTTACACATTGCAAGAAAATATAGAGTAGCGAACAAGCTCGGTTGCGGTGATCCTTCTACAGGCTAATATATCACAATTTATATGAAACTGTTTAGAACGGGTGGGAGGAGAAATCATGAGAAGTTGGAAAAGAGATAATCTACATTCCAGTTCCATGACCGGATGTTGCTCACACTTTGATCCTCACACATGCGTACTGGTTGGGGTCATTA